CCACATATGCTTTTCTTGTGTAGGCTATGAGGAAATTGGCTACTGACTTTCCCCCTGTCTGGAAATCCAGAGTCACTCTAAATAAGGTCACTCGGTTCAGACTTCACCACAGTGGTATCAGCATACAGCAGCCGTGTGGTTATTCATGCACAGCGTGACTCTTGTTTGAAAGGCACTAATTCTCCTTCTGTCCCACTGTAGGAAACCCGATTAGACCACATCTTACATGTAGCAACTCTGCCTTTCAGTTTCCAAAGGGGAGTACGGCGGGGATCTGTAAGATGGGCTGCTTGTAATATGTGGCTTTGGCTTCATTGGTGATTTCAGCTCTTAGAGTGATAAAAATGGCAGCGCTAGTGATTATGAATGCATAAGGATTAATGTAGGCTATTTAAAGACTCCACACAGAGAAGGGAAGACAGAGACACATTTTCCCCTTCTGAAAGGAGGTGGAAAATCCATGGATTATCCCCAAAATTACTACAGTATGCTTCAATCTAGACTTGCTGTTATGCCATAGTTCTGATAGCCAACCAGATGAAGCTTTTTATGCCACTGTTTAATGTGTTTATGCCACAGTAACCAGTGGTGAACCAGAATAAACCAGATGCAACCCGGGTCAAAATTTGTACTTTTATGCAGCAAGGTCATTTCTTTCTATTTCAAAAAAATGCTATTCTTTTAAACTTTATATTCCCCAGACAGCAACATAGTGTCGGCCCAGATCCGGGCCTGGATTCAATGTGTTCCAAATGTGTGCCGGATCTGGGCCGACACCATGTTGTTTAGAATCCTGAAGCATATGTATTACTGCTATGATGTATCTGGAGCCAAATAAAAGTAAAATGAATGCATTTCATTGGCTTGTTATTCCAAGACAGAGAAAAAAAAAGACCTAACGTCACCGAGTTTTAACCCGTCTAAATGTATGTAGACCGCTTTCTACTTTGAAGGTCTGGTGTGCACTTTAGTATCAATAACATTGATATTTAAACCATTCCTGTACTTTTTGCATCAGAAAAAAAAATTAAAAATAGGTCAGCCAAATGTAACCTGTTGTAAACAGTACTCTCCAAACATGCCTCATTAAGTCGAGGCATTAATACTGCTCTGCTTTCGGTGCTGTGGATCGCTGTGGGATCAGCTCAGGAGAGATCCTTCCTGTCGACGGGGCTTGTTATTGTCACAAGCATCCTCACCAGCTCCTCTCGCTGTGAAGTTCCCTAATTAGTCACCTAGTCTCTCCTGATTCACAGTGAGCAGCACAATACACAAATATATAAAAAGAGTCATTTTAATGAGGCCGTGTTTTCAGATCTACTAGAGATGAAAGTGCAAAGTGAATTTTGTTTCACAGGTATGTTTCACATAAACATTGAACGCAAAATTTACTGAATAATAAAAGTTTATGTCGGAATTGCTCGTTCCAACATGCTTTCTGTTCAGAGTCCTTAATTCCCATTAGTTTGTGTGCCTTGTCTACATTTTCTTTTTTCTCACAAAATGTGTGCGCCACACAAAACGCCATCGGATCCAACAATTACATGTCAAATATTTAGTAAAAATATTGATTAGGTCATTCAGGTTAGTATGCTTAATGTTTTCCACAAAAACACTAAGCAGCAAACCTGTTTTCAACATTGATAATAATAATTTTTCTTGAGCACCAAATCAGCATGTTACCATAGAAGGATTTCTGAACTTGAATATTTGAATATTCAAATAATATTATAATAATAATACTCACCAGAGCCTTTGATGTTTTTTTTAATCATTAGGATATAATTACAGCTGAAAAATCATGAAAAAAAACGAAACAGATCCATGAATTTGGATTGGCCAAAAACAAACTCTTTATAAGATTCCTATGATTATGTGACTAAATTATCACTGAGAAATCAGCTTTTGAGCTTTTTAACATGCCATATGTTAGAAGCAAGATTCAAATCTGCATGGGAAACACCACTGGCTGGTTAAAGTCCAACACTTTAACCACTCAGATGATGCTCCATATTATTAACATAATGTCTGTTTTCACATTGGAAATCAAGACTAATGCAACTAATAATTTCAGCCTGCTGTCGGTTCCAGGTTGGGCTGCACTGCGGTTCAGTGGCAAACAAACCTACCATATCAAGTTGTCTTGAGCCTGCCAATCAGTCCTCTCAGCAGGGTGAAGTACTATCCATGGGGACGGCTTTACCAGAATCTCAGATGAAGAGGATGTGGGAAGAGCCAGCAGCTGTGAACCCAGTGGCCTTGCCAAGCACCGCTGGCCAGCCAAACCAGATGTGCAACCCAGTAAAAATTCATATTAGAAAGGACGGGTAGGGCTTTGGGCGAGTAAAGATTCGTTGTTTATGAAGCAAACTGGCAGACAACACAAAAAGAGAGCTAGACTCTCTAAAAGGAAAACACTGAACACTCTCAATGACATTTAAGTTTGCATGAAAGTGAGAATAAAACAATGTTACGTTCTAATTTTAACTGGAAATGTATGTACGTTGTGTGTGCTTATGAGGCACAGTTTCTGTTAAAAATGCACTTTATCCGAAATCACATACTAATATACAGTAGTAGGTGAAAAACATGTTAAAATAGAAGTATGTCCGAAATCACAGTACTACATTCTGTGGATGACATAGTAGCGAGATTCTGAAGGGTGCATATTAGAGCCAGACCGATATATCGGCAGACCGATATTATCGGCCGATATTAGGCATTTTCCAAACTATCGGTATCGGCAGCTATAATGGCCGGTAAATGAATATTTCAAAAATAAAATAAAAACGGACGAAACACGCTTGAACCATGTCATGAGTGTTGGAGTTGTATAGTTTGTCCACCAGAGGGCATTCTACACCGTCCCTGTTGGCAACACTCATTGAGTTGGTCACGACACATACATTGCTTGAATAACAATTAAATCTCTTCTTGGCCTGTTATATTGAAAATGTATGTTTTCCAATTTGCAGTATGACGTTATCCATTGCTAAATTATGGCTCATCATAGACTAGCTAACCACAAAGCTAGCTAATGCCGCTATCATCAGTCTGTTCTGTTGTGACAATAAAAGAAACAAGTTTCTTATTAAAATGTATTATCATATTATTTAAGTTAAAACTCATAAATAACTACAAATAACTGATGTTAGGGAAATCTGTTAATGTTTTGTTGTGCGTTTCTGAAAAAATAAATAAAAATATCGGCCAATATATCGGAATATCGGATTTCAAAACCAACAAATATTTGTATCGGTATCGTATCAGCCTTCAAAATCCTTTATCGGTGGGGCTATAGTGCATATATGAACACTTTTAACACTTTAGTGATGCAACTAACACATGGTTGGTCAAATGATTATTACAACATGGCTAATTTAGTACATCCAGATTACATTCACCACACACATTCATAAAACATACTTGTTTAGCGGCCATGAAGTATCTGCAATTACTTATTCAAAATAAGAACTTACTCAGAGTATGCGATTTCAGATGCAGACTTGATTGGCTATTAATGTTTTTATCGTTCATCAGCTGCATAAAATCGCTCTGAAAGTGATTTCAACGATATCTTTTCTATGTGTTTATTTAATATTGAGAATGATTTTTAGAACTATATCTTTATCGTTATCTTTGGACTAACAGGGGTTTGGATGCAGTAAAAAACAATCACAGCAAACTTTTTTGGTTTGTGATTAATCATTTCTATTGTAGAAAAGTTCTATACGCAGTAAGCCGTGATTCATTTATTCTGTGAGTGAAAGTGTCCAATAATAAGGTGGTTTTCCAGGAAAAGGTTAGTATTTATCATGTGATCTCAAAATGGCTGCCTCTGTAAGACGATCTTCTCCATGTGAAACTAAACAACTTTTATAATATATGACTATGTACTTTAAACATTTAGCATTTCTTTTTAAGAGGAAAAAAAATCACATAGGAACTTTTAAGTGCCGTTAGTGCTTATTAAAGAAACTCCTGCTGCAGAAGACTACAAATTCAATAGAGTTATGTATTATCAGATGAACTTGTATGATACAAGTTTATCTGATAATGCATATTGAACAAACATCACAAGATGATATAAATTGTATCATCTTGTGATGTTTGTTCAAAACCTTGCTTTATTAGACTTTGTACGTGTTTGTGTGCTTGTTGGTGTGCACATTTGTCCTAGCTAATACAACCCGTGTGTCTGTTTTCTTCAATTGGTCCACAAGGTTTGGATTATGAGGAATTACCCCTGGAACTCCAAGATCTCCAGAGAGACCAGAATGGGCAAACAGAAAGAAAAATAGAAACAAAAAAGCTTTATAGTTATGGATATGTACTTCAAAGATCTAAATCATCAGTGAGTCTTACCAGAAAGATGCAATTTCACAGTTGTTTTGCATGATTGGCATGTGATAATTAGGAAACATTTTCTGCTTGTGAGAATGTTGACTGCCACCATGGAATGTGACAGTGTGAACAATGAATTTGAATTTCAAAAAACTCACCACTATGATCGTCAAATTGGAGTTCCAGCTTGTGTTTATGAACAAATATCACCACCTAGTGGTTATCAAAAAGCACTGTTTTAATTCTCTATGCTAGTAATCAAAATCATCATCATCCCTTAACCTTGTACTTATATGGTTAACTAAAACCAAAACCATTAAAAACCGGTAACTTGAAATAAAATAAATGTTACCTGAAATAAAAATATAAAAAGCTTAAACTTACTTTATTTCAGCTATTTTCCAAGGCAGCATTTCTAATTTTAATTTAATATTTAATTTTTAACTTGATATAAAATGAGTAAAACTAATACTGAAATAAAAATTAATTAAACTATGGACATATTTTTTTAAATAAAATATTAAAATGACAACAAAATGACTAAAACTTGTAAATTCAATTAAAACGGAAAATGTAAGGATAAAAATATATAAGTATCCCAATGATACTGTGACATGAGAAATATAATGTATCCCAGCATAAAATATCGTCTTCAAGGATTTTAATAATTTTTTATTTATGAACCATGCATGATAAATCAAAACAGCCGATGTGTTTGGCATGCCTGTAGGGCAGATAACGTGAATTTCAAACTGTAATACTTAATTCTTTACAAATAAAAGATCGTAACTGAAACACATGACAAATAAAACAGGTTTTTAAGAAACCCTGAGAAATGTTGTGAGGCATATCAGCCACCGACTGAATTTACAACAGGAATGGAACATTCCGGACAGCTGCATGCATACGTGGAAGGACACAAGCTCAATTCTTTGCCTTTGGTAAGATTAATAACAGACTCGCCTGGGCCATAAAGCTCGAATCTGGGGAGAAGTTATGAAAACCTTGTGGATTAAGCTGGTGTTTAGAGTAAAACATTCCACTTGGATCAAATTCCCAAGCATGTCTACATAAAACATGTGTCTTGAGCTTAATTTCACTCATCATTCTTCAACATAAAAAACAGTTTGTTGCAAGACCAGTAACTTCTCTAAGAAAGCAGATATTTCTCAGTGTTGTAAACAATAGCTATGTGATTAGACTTTGATACAGGGATCATTAGTGCAAATCTGCAGTACAGAGTATTGGGATATATTAAAATATAATACTGAGAACATCTGTAAGCATTTGATGTTCGACAGGGGCCGTTTTCACATGACTTTGATACAAACAGACCTGTCATCTGGCTCTTCTCCTCCGAACCACGATGGTTCCAGCCACGACGTCATAAACAGTTCTGTTGTGTTGAAAAAATAGCAGCGTGATAAAGATAGGGAAAAGGAAGGCGATGGAGAAGTTTTTGTTTAAGGCCCGTACTGTGGACCTGCAAGATTAAAAAAAAAGCAGTTATTAAAATACTTCTAATGTGTAATTTTAGTTTAGTTTTAGCATAACTCACGCAGATAAGCTGACATTGGTTGCCGGTGCTACCAAAACCCGATTAGGCTGCACTAGGACTGTCGTGTCACATGTGACGACTCGAAGACCCAGCAAGAATTTTCCCGGAGTGGCTCCTCCAGCTCCCCAAATACAGATGATCTGCAGATAAAGACAGAACATAGACTCAAGAAATGTGTGTGAGCTGTCTAAAACCACAAACTCTCTTCAAATCAGACTACAGAGGCTTTGCACCAGATGTTGTTAGTAAGTGACAAGATAATAAGGATGGAATTAATAATCGTTTAACTTTCTGAAAAGAAAAAAAATGTAAATTAAAAACAGATTGAGAGACGAGGCTTGTAAAATGGAAGACAAACGATGGCAGAAGCTTGCGGAGACTCACTCACTTCATAGACGCACACTAGGACTCTGTATGCTAAAGCCACAATCATCATCTTCTGCAGATCCTCCAATGATGTGGTCTCATCAATCTCTTCCACAATGAACTGCATCATGAATTTGGAAATATCTCTGTTCAGAAGATCATGAACCGTCATTATACAACATACGAGTCGGTTATGAAAGATGTCTCTTATGCTCACCAAGGCAGCATTTATTTGCTCAGATATACAGTAAAACAGCAATAATGTGAAATACTATCACAATTTAATTAATATTTTGAAAATGTAATTTATTCCTGTGATGGCAAATCTGAATAAATGCAAAAAATGCATTTATTTAACTTTTTTTTCCCATTTAACAAAAGTATTCAAATTTATTTAAGAAATCTTACTGACACCAAACTTTTAAGTAGTGCATATATCTCATAAGTAGTGTATATATAATTGATGCATTACTATTTTACTTTAGAAATAGAACTAAATCTAAAACTGTCCGGTGATCCAGAAGGAAATAATACTGACAGTAGTTAGTGTTTTGAACAACTTCTCAACTCACTTCATTCCACTGAGATGCATGATCCACAACACTATGGTTGCCTTTACACAGAAGAGAAGGAAGAAATCCACAGTTTCAGCCAGAAATCTACGTAGAGGGGAGGGGATGGTGTACTCTCTACCTGAAAGAAAAAAGATAACGTAACTTAGGAGAGAGAGTGCCATCATAGGCAGACATAAATTTATATGTGGTGTGAGACTTTTGGGATGGATTTTAAGTGTCTACACTCTGTTTATTGATGCTTAGAGGTGGCATAAATGCATTTACACAGCTATTTCAACTGCATACTTTGTTACTAGAGGTTGAGGTGGATAAGAGCAGGTATAATCTAATCTGTTTTTAATTATACAACATTCTGTCTTTACACTGAATTTTTAGTAGGCACAGTGTAGTTAGTTCACCCATAAATGAAAATTATCTCATAGTTTACTCGGCCTCAAGCCATTCCTTGTGTATATGACTTTCTTCTTTCAGACAGACATAATCAGCGTTATATTAAAAAAAATATCCGGGCTCCTCCAAGCTTTATAATGGGAGTGAATAGAGCACCCATCCATCATAAAAGTAATCAACACAGCACCAGGGGGTTAATAAAGGCCTTCGGGAGCAAAGCAATGCATTTTTGTACGAAAAATATTCATATTTATACTTGTGTAGGAGTACCATAAGCTTCGGTGAGAGAAGACACCTCTCGTAGTTCAAACATGACTGGGCAAGCTCAACTCAAGCTCATCTGACATTTCTCTCTACAAATTCTAATTTTAGACTTTTAATTTGTGACGGTGTTTTGTTTTGCTTCCACTTTCGTCGGGTCAGAGGTCACTCTTCTGCCGGAAATTGTGGCATACATCCATTACAAAAATTCAATAAGGCAGTGATTCATTATAATTTATAAATTTATAACTTATATGAATATTTTTCTTACAAAATGCATAGCTTTGCTTCAGAGGGCCTTTATTAACCCCCTGGAGCTTAAAAATGTTATGATGGATGGATGTGCTTTTTTGAGCATAAAATCTAAGGTACCATTCACTCCCATTATAAACCTTGGAAGAGCCAGGATATTTTCAAATATAACTCGGATTGTGTTTGGCAATTTGATATATGACACTAAAACAGCTGGGGATTATGGAGATATACTGTATAGCTAGATAAAATGTCAGTATAGTTCAATTCTTCATTAACGCAAGTTAACGTGGGTTCAATAATGCAACTGATAACTTCGTCTCCTCCAAGCATTGGATTGACAGCTACAGTAAGGTTACCTGCGGGCTGTGCTGGTCTTCTCTCAGCAGTGCTGGATGTGGCAGTGGCTGCTGGACGACTGGACGGTGGGCTCGTCTGGTTATACCAGGCGGCAATGTCAGCGGGCGTCGCGGCATATGCAGATGATGTGCTGCCGGGTGCCTGGCAACCGAACTGAGGCGGAGGAAACAGCGGCGCGGACATCAACACCCAGCTCTGCCAGCTCGCATAGCCACAGTAATAGCGCCACATCCACTGCTGCAGCCGCGAGCAGTATTCAGTCGTTGTCATGTTGTCACTGTCATCGGATTTCTGACCGTTTTTGGCCGTTTCTTCCGTACTATCCATCATGTTGACTTTTTTGTTAATCTTAATTAGACTTCAACTCACTAAAGAGGCTAATCTGCTCAGGCAGCGGCCATGACAACTGCTCATTCGAGTCGGAATATACCACTATGCTAATACATTTGTAGTTGGTGTTTTTCACTTCAACTGCCTTAAACAGTTTCCATAATTATATTTATTATTACAAAAAGACGTGTCTGCTAAAAAAAGACACAAACTGTGCAAGTAACTAAAAATTAAACAGCGCCAACTGTATACTACTGTGCACCCCTGTGATATTCAATAGTGGTGCAGGCTGCAAAGACCATTAGGATCGGATACCTTTACTGTCAATGATCGGATGTGATGGCTCACAGTCAATCAGACAGTCATGATTAATTTGAAATTATCAAAATATTAATACAATGATCATATTATTTTAAAATTATAAATTACAGCATATATTTTTAAATATTTATAATAAAATAATTAAGGCCTACGTTTATACATTTGGCTGACTCTAAAGCGACTATCATTAGAGTGAGTAAAGTTATAGGCCTACTACATTTTATTAGTGAATGTATTCTTATGAAACTTTTATTATAAAAATTGGAAAATTAATTCTGCTGCGAGACAAGAATAGACAAGAATTTTTTAAAATAATTTTTTATATTTGTAAGTTTTGTATTTTTAACACTCTCTTATAAAGTATTTTAAATTCAATTTTTATAACTATTTTACAATTATTAAGCATGCATTGTTCATGTCCTAGTATTTATTTAGAATAGATATATAAAAAATAATTAGTCACACTAAATAACCATTTAAAATGAACTAGAAAATAAAAAATAGAACCATAAAATAACAGTTTAAACATTCATAGAAAAAAAATATTTTCTTAATAATAAAAAAAAAGTAATCTTGAGACTTGTCTAGACTCATCACCACTAGGTGGCGACAATGTCATTCATATGATTTTTCAGAAAGTGAACTGCTCAATTCTCAATACATTTAAATTGAGTTCTGTATTATCAAATAATACAGTTTCTTAAACTTAAAAGTTATTTTATTTTAAAAAGGGGAGCGAGAACGACAGAGAGGATGACTTGTAAAAAGTCTTGCGAGCATTCCTAAATTGAGTTTCAGCAGTTAGAAAGTGTACTGATGCTTATTAATTGTGCTTAATTAGACATCCGCAAGTCAATGCAAAAGGGTCAAATGTAGACAGCTTCAAAAACTGTCTGCCGGTTTTGTCTCTGGACGCTTGTTATGGCGGCCAGCTGGTAAAAGACCGGGATGCAACATGTCTGTGTGTTGCTCTCATTCTCTGTTGGTAGTGTATTTGCTGACTGGGCTGCCCTTGGGCCTGTGAGTAAGGTCTGGCCGGCCTAGTGACTGTGCTGGTCCCTGAATGGAGGCCCCCAGGCGGAACAGAATCAGCCCGTGTGAGGATGATCACCCCTGACAGGATGTGGGGTGACCTGCACAGAAATAATCAGGGGCAAATAAAAGCTGTGTCCAGCAAACGCTGACCTGCATGGAACCTGCCACCGGCTGAGGATTACGAGTGAGGTGTGTGAGCGTCTGTCTGCTGCCTATGGATAATCATAGTACCTGCAAGGTTTAAAGCGAAGAACCACGATGGGTCAAAGTATTCAAAATAAAATCACACAGTAAACGCAGAGGAGGACATTTTACACTGGAATTTATTGGGTTATAGCCTACTTGAACTTTGTTAAGAGTTGTGAAGAGCTGTGCAATGTCTGAGGCAATAAGTGACTCAAACCCTTTGCTGACCTCTGTGTCTTATGTTAACAGATGATCTGCACAATTGAAGAACATTTAAATGCTAAACCCCCGTTTTCCACACCACAACTATAACGATAAGGGCACAGGGGAACGATATCTTGGGAATCACTCTCAGAACATTTGTTTTTCCGGTTGACAGCCAATCAGAAACCGCCAGACTTTAAAGAGCTCAAGCTTTTTACAGTGGCAGACAAAAAAAACTGCAGCGCGCTAATAAACAAAAACATTGCTCTGGACACTAATTGTTATAGTTATCGTTCTTGGTGTGAACGGGACTTGTTACATCCTATAGCTCATACAAGTTATGGGCTTTGCTGTCCTACTTTCACCCAAATCAAGTGGGGAATCAACTTTCCGGCTCGTGAGGACAGCACAAATCCTCCCCATACCCCATGCTGCAGATTCAAAACTCGCCTCTTTTGATTAATGACAAACTCTGTAGTATAGGCGGCGTAGGCCTTCAATGTTACTCAGCAGATCATGTTTATATGCAGTTGAGTTAAAATGGTATTTTGGCTTATATGAAAGGTTGCTATTATTTCTGTATGGCTTGACTAATTTCAAAATCATTTCTTGAAAGCTTGAAAGCTGTACAATTCCTTCATGCAGTCAGTGATACATCTTTTCTTTGCTGACTTGGTTTCTTATAAACTCATATCTCTGCAAAGTCTCAATGTTTGTGATGTAAATGTCCTTATTTCAGCGCTAATGTTAAGGGAGTTCAATAAGAAATTGTGGTGACTGATGCAGAAAATCATGTGAGGTCAGCACCCACACTGAGATTTAACCTCATTGACTTACACTACATTATATTGTAACTTAATTCAGAAATGTCTACATTGTAAAAAAAAAAAAATTGTTAGTTTAACTTAAAATAATGAAGTAACCCGACTGCCTTCAAATTTTAAGTTCATTGAAATGGAAAAATTGAGTTTATACAATGAAGGAGATTGATTTAATCATCAGAAACTCAAAATATTATGTTATTATGTTCTAAGTTGATATGACAAAAGAAAAAAATGTTGTGATTACAAATAATGGAAATATTTTTTTACAGAAATCAATGTATAGCGTTTTATAGGGTAAATGACACTATCCTGATAAACACTTTATTGTTAAATCTTTAGATTATGGGTAATGGATGCATTTAAGCCTTTACAAGGTTTTTGTTTAAAACTGCATGATAAATAATCAAAAATAACTTTGGTCATGGCATTCTTTAAAACCTTCACTATTTTATTTTAAATAGTGCGACAAATTATGTATTTATTTAAGCCTTGTTCTCATTTGTTTTGTTTCTACAACATTTCCACATAATTCCATAGCCTAATTTATTTTCTTTCTTTTTTTTGTTGCAAAAATTCCATTTAAAAGTACATAATCTCTCACATAATATGACTCAAAAGTATATCATGACATGACATATTAAAAAAAAAAAAGGAAAACAAAGCAAGTTCCTTAACTGCTTCCGTATACGTCGGCTGCTTGCGTATTTTCTTCCTTAACTGAGAACTAAGAGCACACAGATCCCTTTTCATATGATTTGTAGCCATTATTTGACACATAGACCCCATTAAGTGAATTATGTCACATTTCAGAGGTGAGCACAAATGTGAGGGGCTTGGCGTCATGCAGTCATATACCACCCACCTCCTCCCTTTCATTCGGAGTACCTCTCAGCCCTATATGTGGCACTGTCTGTCTGATCACATGAGCCACTTCCCCCTCGGCTTTTCTAGATCAAAAGTTAGCCGTGGGAAAAGCCATAAAGCATTCCAGAACATCTGACATTTGAAAATGTTTGTTTGCTATATGCTACTTGCAGCTGTGTGCAGACAAAGCCGAAGACAAGCGGCCGTCACTTCAAAGTTGCTTTGTATTCCACATTTAGAGCACTGAGCAACAATGTAATGGGTTAAATTTATCATTCTTGAAATAGCATTGATCTGAAGGTATGACTATAGTGATAAATTGGTGAACCCAGAGGTAAATTACACCAAATCCTGTTTGGTGTTTCAAATAAATCTCAATCTGTGATGATTCGGGGGTTAAATTCAAGTACAACCGTAAGTGTTTTGTTTACAAGCAGTAAGAAGAACGGTCAGTGAATGACTTATAGCTTCCTCTTCCTTTGCGCTATCACGGACCCACGTTATCTCCCCCCTACAGCGTGTGGAAGTACGTGTTTGAAAGTAATTAAAGGCTGTTCACAGAGCTATTGTTCTCTAGACTGGTGTTCTTAAAAATAAAAACACATAGATATATCTCTTTTTATATAAACTACACAGGCAAAGTATTATGACTCTCAAACGTCAATTTCCCTTGCTCCTCGAGTTGACGGAAAGGGAGAGCTTCTTTGTTCATTCAGAAGATAACAGGCATTTCATTGACAGGGAGGGTAAGAGAACCTGAGTGGATTTATGCCCACAAATTGGGTGCAAATTCAAAGCATTAGAGACACAAAACAGATCTTTGTTTTGTCTTTTGAGAACTACTGGATTTGTTAGATATATTACCTAACTTAACATGGCTCTATAAAAAAGTATATTGTTAGTAACACTTTAAAGTCCCTTTTGATTTTGGCCTGCATCCTGTCATCACATAAAAAAAATGTGGCACTTTTGCATGACTTTTGTACAATGTAATTCATAAAGAAAAATTTTAAATGTTTAGAAAAATATAAGCATGAAGGTCCCACCCCTAAATCTAACTGTCAGTGGGCATAATGACAGATTGAATGAGTGATCATGTCAGTTCAACTAAAGATAAAATAGTTGTGATTTGCCTTGAGAGGTGCGGACCCTCTTGACTACACATTCATTAATTAATTATTAATTAACTCCACATTAATTATTTTAAAAATCCATAGAATTGTGGCAACCAGGACAAAAAAAAATTTGAATTTCAATTTCTCAAATTGACTGCCTTTGTCAAGCTTAACCATTCATTTTTGGAAAAATTAGGAAACAACTATTGTTCCTTGATTTATGAGAAATATAGGCTATGTGTGTAACAGTTATATATTTTTGGCATTTAAAAGTAAACACTTCATAGAAAAGATAGTTTGACACTGTCAACATTTAATGAAGACTAAACCCCTCTTTTCATGAACCATGTTGAAAAAGCAACAAAAAAGCACTTTTAATTTGAAAGATTTTCTAAAACATGCCATATTCACCACCTTAGGATGGGTTATGGAAATGAGATTTAACTCCCACTTGCACATTCTCTTATCTGAGACGAGTACCATGTTCCTAAAACTATATCTAACAGGAATTCTAAACAGAATTCCAAA